GTTAGCAGTGATAGCATTGCTGCTGCATTTGACTGGATTACGAAACAAGCAACGCACTTAAGACTTGATGTTGGCAAGGTACGTTCAAATGTTGCAGAATACAGAACATGGTCAGGTATTTGGTCCAGGAGTGCAATCCGGGACTCTGCCAAGCATGGTGGCAAGACCTTTGTACAACACAGCCTCAGATTCCATTTGCTTCTTGCCTGCTTCAGATTCCTTTGTCTTCTCCAGCATGTGAAAGAATCTGGTTTATGTTTGGAAATATACACACCAAATCAAGAAATAAACTAACCTGTGAAAGAGTAGAGAAGCTTGTTTTAATCCATGCAAACCTTTGGTTTTTTGAAGTCAAATGAAGGCTCAAATTCAGCATCAGAAAATATTGATATTTTAGAAACTCAGTGTGACTGATTAGGCAAAGAAACTTGTGATGCTAATATTTTCAGGGATATATTTGATTGTTAAATGACATTTTGGTTTCATGTGCGAATTTTTTTTGTCTCCACCCTTCAAGGGATTTTTTTTTCTGAGTTTTTTTTTCTAAAAATGGGAGTTTCTTCTCTTTCTGGAGAGTGCTGACTGTATGGAGGAGACTTTCTAAGTCCAGATAATAAAAACTTCCTTTTGTTTACTACAGTGTTAATGGTTTCTAGTTTCAACTTTTATTTTTTCCCTAGTTCTCACAAACTGGCAAAAAGTAAGAGATGCTTAAGTACTTTAGGGTGCAGCAGCTTGTAGCTCCACTTGTAACAATAATTACAAATAATTTAAATGCCTTGGTTTTATTCAAATAAAACATTTACACTTTTAAATTTCATAAATATACCAAATGTTACAATTTTATGTGCTAATTAAGTTATACATAACAGTCAATGTAGATAGATAAGAAAATAAATATTGCTTATTTCAGTTTTTCCCAAAATCTAAATTTTTTCCCCAAAAAACACTTTTTTGATTTCACAGCTTCAAAATTCCCAGTAATTTTATATCTCTTTTTCAGTGGTCTTTTTAAACATCGAGGACATGGTGGTTTGTTGCTTGCTTTGTCCTTCAGCCTCTGAAGCAGCTTTCTCTTCTGGTGTACTTCTGATTATAAATGGCAGTTGATACTATTTGTTCTTGCCAGATCCAAAGTCACGTTACACGAGGAGCAGAAGAGCTTGCACTGTGCAAAATACTGAAATCATAGCAAAGTGGGACCAGCCCCAACTATATAATCCCAGCTAAGGCTTTGCTTAGCTGGTTAGATGTGGGGTGAGACTGGGAGGGATGGGGAAGAGGGTTCCCTCTGCTGGGTGCCTGCCCCCATAGAGTATGGGGCAGGGGCTGCCCCAAGCCCAGTGCAGGGGGAAAAACGTGCTAAACAACCTTTCAAAATCTGCTAGATTAATAGTGAGGGGCAGGGGGAATCTAAAATCTTACACCCTGTAAAGAAAGTTTCACTGCTTACTCAGGCTGGATGACAACCCAGGTTTAGAGGTCTTAGACAGAGTCTGTCAGTTTCAAAATTAAAATAAAATCCTTGCTTTGTGCACACAAGGAGAGTGGGACCTCTAGCCTTTTCTGGTTTGGACTCATGCAAGTCCAAATCAGAAGTCTCTCTTCCCTATGGAGTTGACAACAGAAGAAGCAAATATGCCTATTATTTTAATATTCACTCATTTCGCAGTTAAATAGTTGTCTGTGCAAGAGAAGGGAAGGTACAGAGCAGTCCTGGGCAGGAACAGTGTGGGGGTCACATGAATACCTTCTGAAACGGGTAGGCAATTATTTGGGCTGTAGGGCCGTTTAATGAATTTCTCTGAGCTGTTAAGGGTAGGGCAGCTCCCCGCCACCGCGCACACCTCCAGCTGGGGGAGCAGGGGCGGGGGGTTTGAAACTGCTGTTAAAGTTCCGGTTCAGGTTCAAAACAACATACTGATTCATACTGGTTCTTTTGTTCTGGTTCAGTTCTGGTTTCACTTCCTGCTCATGCATATCCCAGATTTAAAGCTTATGTAAGTATAGGCTGACTATTATATAAGGTGACTATAATCATTTGACAGGAATTGGGGGCACCAGCACATGTACCTCCCCATGCCCCTCCCTGCATGCCTCCCAGGAGTGGGGCTGGGCAGGGCAAGACAGTGCAGCACGTGCTTAGTCCTGCCTGTAAATTGATTACAAATAATAGACTAATATGTTACATGTGGAAGTGATTATACTCTTTCTGGGAAATGATATCATATTGACCTGTGGCCAACAGGTGTGTATGACTTCATATTCCCATTTACTTTAAGCAATTGACATGATTCTCAAAAATGTCATGCGGATGAACCTGGAGGGTATAAACTTATTATTGTAAGTATAAATGAAGTCTCAGCGTAAGATTGTGGGTGAACTTGCAGCTTATGAAATAAGGGGATAGTGCTGTGTAGAACCAAGTATAGTATGAGAAGGTACTGTTGTATATAATACAGCTACCCACTGCTGTTACTCCTTCACTCTTGGCCCTGGCATCACATGATTGAGAAAAGTCTTAGCCTCTGCCTGGTTTTGTTTTGCCAACACAAAACAGAAAATAACACATTTATTTGAAGATTCCACCCCTGTACTATGACAATGAATGGCTGGGAATAGCCTGTATTTTCTCACATACAGTACACATCTGTTCCCCCAAAATCAGGACTCTTCCCCCCCAGCATTGGGAGGGTTGTTTTAAGTGGGGAAGCTGGAAAAGAAGCCAGCCTGGAGACATTGTACATGCTATTCAGCTGCCAAGATGGCCGCCCAGATGGCAGTCCTGTGTTAACCCTCTCAAAGCCATAGTTTTGGCTGAGCTCCGTAGCTTGTGCCTGAAGAATTAACTGAGCTGCTGGTATTATATCGATGAGGTTTGCTCTGTGGCAACAATACTTTATTTACTGGACCTTATATAAAGATCTAAAGTCTTGCTATTACCATAGTAGGAGATCAGGAAAACAGGAATGAGGGATGCAGAAAGCGTGACAGGATGTCAGTGAAAATATAAATAGGTAGAAATTAGAAAAACCAAAAGGTAAAACAGGGAAGAGAGGGGGAAGAAAGCAGGGGGAAAAAAGCCAGAGAGAGACACTACAGTACTAATAGTACGCGGTTAAAAAAAGAGGCTACCAAAGAAAAAGGAAATGGTTGGAAATCAGGAAGACAAAAGGCAGAAAAGGTGGGGAGAAAAGAAGAATATAAGAGGTCAGGTCAGGCAGGTACCTGATAGATCAGATGTCAGGCAGGTTGTAATGTATCATAAATCCAATGTCTATATTGAGTCCATGATTTTTTGTATCCAGTATATTTATGAAGTGAAGTTCGTAGGCTCGTCTATGAAAAGTGTGTTGTAAGTTCCCTTTGAGGATTAGAACTGAGAGATCAGAGAGGGAGTGATTATCTTGTGAGAAATGTGCCCCCACAGGTAGTTGGGTATTCTTTCTTGGATAGGTTTTCAATGTGTGTTCATTCTGGTGTGTAGTTGTTGTTTGGTTTCTCCTACATACTTTCCATCAGGGCATTTGGTGCACTGGATGAGATGCATAACATTCTTGGAGGTGCAGGTGTAAGATCCAGGGATGGTGATCATTCTGTTCTGGGGTGTAGTTATTGTGGGGGTGATGGAGATGTGTTGGCAGGTTTTGCATTTCTTGTCCTGGCATGGTCTGGATCCACTGGGTGTGGCTTGGGGCATAGGGAGTTTGCTTCTGGGGATGAGGTTAGTGAGGGTCAGTGCTTTTAGTGAGGTTCAGTGCTTGTTTAATGGCTAGGATGGGTGGTTCTGGAAAAATCTCTTTAAGAATGGGGTCTTCTTCTAGTATGGGATGCAATTGTTTGAAGATTTTCCGTATAGGTTCCAGGGAAGGATGGTTTGTCATAACTAATGGTGTGCAATTTGTGGGTGTTTTCTTTTTGTACTGCAGCAGATCTTCACGTGATATCCAGGTGATCTTGCCCTACTGCCCTCTGTGGACCAGTGGATGCCTCCGTCCTCCCTATCCGGCCCCTATGGCCATGCATTCAAGCCCTGGGCCCCAAGCTCTACACATCGTCAGGGCTGGGCAGCAGCTCCAGCCCTGCCCAACTCCCTCCCTCCCTCACTATAGGGGCCTCAATCCCCCCTATACCAGACTTACCTGCCGGAACTGCTCTCTAGCCTGGTGGCCATGTGCATGTTCACATGCATATGGCATCCCCTGCCTAACTGCTCTCCTCCCCCTCCCCTCAGCAGCTTGCAAGCTGAAACTCTGCCAGCCTGCAAGGGGAAACCCATCATTTCCCATGTTTTTCTCCTTAAAATGAGAAAATCTGAGTTTTACCGCATTTTTCCATGGTGAATGGAAAACCAGGATCCCTGCTTATAAGTACCTGTATGTGGGAAAATGTATTATGTAAGGGAGCATTTAATCTGACAAAGGTTTGACAGAATCCAATAGTTTTAATGTGGCTTGACACATTCAGATGAGCAGTGAGGAAATCATTTAACAGTAAGGAACTGTCCTTTGGAAAACAAGCTTCTTGGGGATTTATCATTACTTTTTTTTCTTAATGGATTTATAATTACTTTTAAATATTTACATTGTCACTGGGATGTCTTTCTGGCCTGTGTTGCACAGGCAATCCAGTTGGGAAGTTATGATGTGATACCTTGTGACCCATAATATGTGAATTTATAAGCCTTGTTTTATCAACATTTTTGGATTGTTTGTACTTTTACAGAAATCTCAAACTTAATATGCTTTAAAATAGGGAGTTTAGCAAAAATTTCAATTATCTGATCTCTAGCTAACACAAGGTTGGTCATCTCTCCTCAAAGTAATTTTTAATATACACTGTCTGTTCATCTCTAAAACTGGGTTTTCTAGTGGCTTGGTACTTGTTAACCTCTCAGGAAATTGGCATTGTATTTAGTAGACACTGAAGTAGCTGCTAAATCTGCTTGCAGAAAAGTTTCCTAATTTCATCTATATATTTTTTTCTCCTCTCCTCCCCAGGCTAAAGAAATACTTACAAAAGAATCCAATGTACAGGAGGTACGTTGTCCTGTTACAGTCTGTGGGGACGTCCATGGTCAATTTCATGATCTTATGGAACTCTTCAGGATTGGGGGAAAATCACCAGATACGAACTACTTATTTATGGGTGACTATGTGGACAGAGGTTATTACTCCGTGGAAACCGTGACCCTTCTTGTAGCATTAAAGGTACAGTGTGACATCTTTATTTTAAAATCTCTTATTTGGGGATTTCTGGAGTAAATTGTGGGAGGGCTAAGGAGAAAGATTATTTGGAATGTATTTTTAGGGCAGAAGACTCTTATTGGAAAGATGCTTAATTTCTTATTGGTTCATAATAGCATGTAAATAATAAAATTATAAATATCTGTTCTCTTTCTGCCAAAAGGTGCGTTATCCAGAACGCATTACAATACTGAGAGGAAATCATGAGAGCAGACAAATTACACAAGTATATGGATTTTATGATGAATGTCTACGAAAGTATGGAAATGCTAATGTTTGGAAGTATTTCACAGACCTATTTGATTATCTTCCGCTAACAGCTCTAGTAGATGGCCAGGTAAGCTCTTATGCATTATAGAGGGATTAATTCATCTTTCTTGAAAGCAACAGTTGTTTGGCACCATCTAATGTAGTCCAGTGATTCTCAACCAAGGTGCCATGAGATCATTTCAAGGATGCCCTGGGGTGCCATGCAATGTTAGCACTGTTAGGTATACAAATATGATTCACAATATAAACCCAGAGATTTTAAAAGGGACTCCATAAACTCAAAAAACATTTTGACCTGTTATGGTCTTTCTGAGTTGTTTGCAAGAGTAGAATTGCTGTTTTCCTGTAGTCAGAAAACAAATGAAGAGCTGGCATTTTATTCAGAGGTTGTCTTTAGTTTAGTGAGGGGTGCCTCAAGTTTGTCAAGGTGCCTTGAACCTTGAGTCTCAAAAGGTTGAGAACCATTGATCTAGTTTGACTTCTAAAAGAACTTGGAGAAAATGGTCCTTTGAAGAGTTTTTGTCATACTCTGAGTATAGCACATAATACAAAGGGGGTTTTTTTCTTGTCAGGCGAGAAAAAAAAAAGCTTTTGTTTTGTTTGATTTACATTAAAATGGGTTTTTCCTTTCCCATATAATTCCCTTTTGACATCAGTGCACTTTATTTGGTGCAGCTGCAGCTTACAGCAGTTCGAGCTCAGTGTGTCAAGAAACTGCTGCAAGTTGCTACATTACCATGGACATCCTTTTCCTAAAGGTTTTCCTTCAACTTGGGAGAGCAAGTTCAGTAAATAAACTGGATGGGAAGCGGTTTAGAGCCGTGTTTGGTTGTTGTGATTACTGCAACCTGGGATGTGTGAAGTGAAGCAGTATTTACCCTTATACCACCCACAACTTGTTTTGAGGAGGCAGAATGCAGGGGGAAGGGATATTTTTTCCATAATCTTCCTACCACAGAATGGATTCACCATGGCTGAAAGCTCACAGCTGTGTAGAGAAGGAGCAGAGTCCGCTTATCAGCATCACCCACCTTCTGGCTCCTCAGCTAGACCCTGTCACAGTAGCTACCAAATTGGTAGCAGCTTTTGGCTGTTCCTCCTCTGTACTGCCAAAAGAGCACAAGCCCTAAGGCATCCATTCTGGCATTCCCATACCTCCATTCCAGCACAGAAATCAACTTCCTTAAAACATGCATCCCGGTTTTGAAGCTCTAATTTTTGGGGGGAATAGGCAGTATGTGATGTGGTATGCCAGTAAATACAGTAAGTTCTCAGAGAAGCAGTGCTTTGTATGGCACTTGTTCTTGATGGCAGTGGTTTGTTTGCATAGTGTTCCCTCTTGATGATCGTGTTCCTTGAGAGACCTTTTCAACTGATACCATAGTCTGAAATTTCATCGGAGATGGAGACTGTCCATTGAATGCTTTCCTGTTCAGCTTCCAAATCAGTGGTGAACCTTGTCTCATCCTGAATCACAGTCCTGATTATGACCTTTTTTTTTTTTCGCTTTTCCTCCCTGTGTTTGCTTGAAACTGCCCCAAAGTTGCCTGGAAGTGTCAAGCTAGTTCTCTTCTGAACAGCCTTCAACATTCTAAGCACTCTTCTCGACGCCTTTGTCATAGTCTTAGCTTAGGCTGGCTGGCATGCACTGATCCATTTCATGTCTGCTGCCAGTGATGTCCTTGACTATCTTATGTCATTAACAGGGATCCAGATTTTGCATTCACTGCAGAAAAACATGTATTTTCTCCTTTAAAAGGGAAAAATGCAGATTTTCTCCTTTAAAGGAGAAAAACATAGGCAACAACAGTTTTCTCTTGCAGGCTGGCAGAATTCCAGCCTGCAAGGGGCTGCTTGGGGCTAGGGAAGCTTGATGCAGGGGGTGCTATATGCATGCTGTGGTCGTGGCAGCTGGGGCTTAGGTGCTGCTGAGGAGGGGCAGGGGACTGCAGGCCCTGGACCTTGCCCTGGTCCCATAGTCCTGGCAGCTGGGGGCCCCTTCCAGCAGGAAGGGGGGGTGCAGGGAGCTGTGGGTTGGGAGTGAGAGGCAAGGGCATGTGCAGGGGCAGGGTACCAGCATATCAGAGCTGCTCAGCACCACAAAGCAGCAGGGGGACAGCTGCAGGTGGACCCTTTCTGGTGAGTGAAGGGGCAGGGGGAACTCTGATTTTTTGTGATTAAAAAATAAATAAAATCAAATGCCAAAATATATAGGTATTTAGAATTTATTTTATTTTAATGATTGAGGCACTGGGAGGCTTCCAAATTGCTTTAAAATTATAAATATATCAATAAAACATTGTGTTCAGTTGATACCTGTCTATATAGTGGTTTCATTTTAATCACAGAAAAAAATGCGGATTTGGGGCATTTTAATCAGAGATTTTTTTATTTTTTTTTTAATCAGAGAATCTCTGGTTTTTAAAAAGAGAAAACCAGGTTCCCTGGAGATTAATCGCCATCTTGTGGGGACTGCATTGACTTGTGGTTTTGTATAGGCCTTTCTTGGGAACCTCTTCCTTTCGCTCATCCTCCTTGCCTTAAATCCAGCTCTGTGCTTTTACTTAGGTATTTTTGTATATGTTATGGCATATGGAGGGACATCATCCTTTGTTGTATTCTTACGGATCACCTGTAGGGTCAGGCCTTTCATATGGAAGTATTCGGTCATTGCTCTGATCTAAATCTTCATTTTTTTCCCCTTAATATTTTTACTGGCTGACTTGGGCCCATCAGCTAAAGGTTGTTTCTTCCTTTCTCTTCTCCTCCCCACATAAAAAGTGGCTATTAACAAGTACATCGGATATCAATACTATAATCTCTAAAAAATTGTTGGGATATAATTGTTTTTAATAATCTCACTAGAGTACTCCTTGTAGGCATTGTAGAGGCATTTTGCTGGCATATGTGCAGTATTCAGCTCCTGTAAAGTAATTTTTAAGATGTAGAAACTGCCTGTGCAGCTGGTGGAACTTCCACAGGCACTGTCCTAGAGTGAAGTGACATGTAAGTAAGGTTAAGGAGCTGTGACCAGGTTGGTTTAAGATGTGAGATGAGGAAGAGGGTGTTGGTCTTTTCAGCACTTGCCTACTTAATCCTTCAAGCTGTTATAGGAGTTTAAGTTTCTTCTGGTTCACCACTTCACTCTTTAGGAACCCAACATGATACACAATGACTGTTTCATAATTTAAAGTTCTGTTGTGAGGCAAAACACTTCTGAAATAGTAATTGAAGAAATATGACCTGACATCTTTATAGGACCCTTTTCGCTGTTTTAGTTTTACTTTAAAACTTTGCATATGGCATTCAGAGGCTTCGTTTTTGTTTTAAATGAGCTGTGAGGTTTTGCCATGAGAGTTAGAACTGTATAAAACTAAACAACTCTAAAGTCAGCTAATTCTTACCTTTTAAGCTGTTATTTTGATGATATGATTAATATTTTTATCACTTTATTCCTGGACAGATATTCTGTCTCCATGGTGGTCTCTCTCCATCTATAGATACATTGGATCACATCAGAGCTCTGGATCGCCTACAGGAAGTTCCGCATGAGGTAACATAAAAATATATGGTTTATAATTTACAAATTTTTAGGTTTTTTAATGCAAATTTACTCTCTTCTAAAATCCACTTTACTACAATGAGAGAACCCTGTAACAAATTGTACTTCTATTAAGTTAGAGCGATATGGTTTTAAACAAGCAAGTCAAACCAGTGTATTTGGATAAGAAAATCTGCAAGAGGAGATGGTAATATTTCCTAATATTTGCCAGGAGCTGATTCCTGTATGCACCAGTCCTCTTACTGATTTTTTTTAAATTCATTTTCATGGCTTGAATAAATGCTTCTCTTATATTAATAACTTTGGCAAGTACAAAGGTATAATTTTATGGAGGGAGGATAAAACCAACCAACAGGAGGAGTGAGTGCTTGTAAAAGTGAAGTGAAAGAAACTAAAACCTGAACAAATAGTAATATTCTCCCCCACTTCATTCAAATACCCATGTTCTGCTAAAAAGTGGAATGGTCCAACTGACACAAAACACCCACTAGCTAATCAAAGGGACGACATATTCTGAGATTTCATCTATATAGAATTTTTTCTGTTTGAAACATTTTAAATGAATGTTTAAATGAATAAAACATCAGGCCCTTGTTTCAAAGGTAATGTTAAAAATGTTAGTAATCTAAACCAGTATACAGTGGTATTTGCAAAATCATGCAGACTGCCTGCAGCTTAAGGTGTGAACTGCCCCATACTTTCATTGAGATCACTCGGATGTTTTACATGCTAGGGGTAACTGCCTCACTGATCTCTCTGTCTAGCTCAAGGGTGGGCAGTTATTTCGGGGAGGGGGCCACTTAACAAGTTTTGGCAAACTATCAAGAGCTGCATGGGTAGCCCCACCCCTTGACAGGTGCCCCGCCCCCTGGTCACCATCTTGTGACCAGAAGTCCTGCCCCCTGACCGTTGCCACCAGAAGTCCCTCCCCTTGCCCTCGGAAGTACTTCTTTCAGCAAGGGGTTTTGCCATCTTGGAACTAGAAAAATACCAATTTATATTTTTAAAAGTGAATATCTAAAACATACATTCTACCCCTGCCTACACACACACACACGCGCGCGCACACACACTGCCCCTGCCTACACCGCCCCCCCTCCCCAATCAGTGGGGCCCCATGCTCCCCAGTCCAGCCATGCAGCTGGGAACCACATGGTGCTGGAGTAGGGCGGGTGCAGGAAGCAGGGAAATAGCTGTGAGTGGGCACGGCTGGGCTCCTGTCTCCTGCTGCCAGCTCCCCCTGGGTCCTACTGCCCCTGTCTCCTGTCCTCTTTGACAGGCAGCCAGGAGCAGATGAATATTTTCCAAAATTTTTAGGAGTCCTGTGGGCCCGTGGACCATATTTTGCCCACTCCTGATCTAGCTAATGGCAGTCCCAGACTGCATGGCTAGCACAGAGACACATCCAGCTTTTCTAAGTAGTCCCTAACCTGTTCTTTCACCATTGACGGCTGCTCACCTCCTTCCCAAACTGTGGTGCCAGGTGCAGTAGTCAGGGAGCTGACTGAGCAGACCAAGGGAAAAAAAGGCATTGAGCACTTTATTACAGAGGATGCAGAAGAGAATGAAGTTGCTTCCCCCATTCAGTAAGGAACCCACACTTTCCCTGATCCTCCTCTTGCTCCCAGCGTACTTGGAGAAAACCTTCTTGTTACCCTTCACATTCCTTGCTAACTGCAACTCCAATTTGGCCTTCCTGATTTCATCCCTGCGTGCGTGAGCAGTGCTGTTATATTCTTCCTTAACTATTTGTCTAAGTTTCCACCTCTTATAAGCTTTCTTTTTGTGATTTTAGTTTACTAAAGAGTTCCCTGCTAAGCCAAGTTGGTCTGCCATACTTGCTAATTTTCCTGCACATCAGGATGGTTTGTTCTTGCACTCTCAGTAAGGTTTCTTTAAAGTACAGCCAGCTCTCCTGGAGTCCTCTCCCTCTCAGACTGGCTTCCCAGGGCATCCTGCCCAGGAGTTCCCTGAGTGAGTTGAAGTCTGCTTTTCTGAAGTACATGGTCCTTACTCTGCTGATCTCCTTCCTTCTTTTCCTCAGGATCCTGAACTCAAATCATCTCGTGGTCACTGCTGCTCAAGTTGCCATCTGCTACTACATCCCCCACCAATTCTTCCCTGTTTGTGAGCAGCAGGTCAAGAACAGCATGGCCTGTAGTTGGCTGCTCCAGCACTTGCACCAGGAAGTTGTCCCCACTACTCTCCAAAAACTTCCTGGAGTGCCTATGAACTGCTATATTGTCATTTCAGCAGATGTCAGACTGATTGAAGTCCCCCATGAGAACCAGGGCTTGTGATTGGGAAACTTCCGCTAGCTGTTTAAAGAAAGCCTCATCCACCTCATTCTCCTGGTCTGGTGGTCTATAGCAGACACTTACCATGACATCCCCCTTGTTGCTCTCCCCTCTGACCCTAACCCAGAGACTCTCAACAGGCCAATTTTTCAAGCTGGTCTGCTGTCATACTTGCTAGTCTTTCTGTGCATCGGGCTGGTTTGTTCCTGCACTCTCAGTAAGGCTTCTTTAAAGTACAGCCAGCTCTCCTGGACTACCCTCCCCCTCTGACTGGCTGCCCAGGAGATCTTGCCCATAAGGCCATAATGAGTCTGCTTTTCTGAAGTCCAGGGTCCTTACTGCTGCTCTCCATCCTTCCTTTCCTCAGGATCCTGAACTCAATCATCTCATGGTTACTGCTGCCCAAGTTGTCATCCACCACTACATCCCCCACCAATTCTTCCCTGTTTGTGAGCAGCAGGTCAAGAAGAGCATGGTCCCTAGTTAGCCGCTCCAGCACTTGCAGCAGGAAGATGTATCCAGTACTCTTCGAAAACTTCCTGGATTGCCTGTGAACTGCTGTATTGCCCTCCCAGCGGATGTCAGGGTGATTGAAGTCCTCCATGAGAACCAGGGCTTGTGACTGGGAAACTTCTGCTATCTTTTTGAAGAAAGCCTCATCTACCACATCCTCCTTGTCTGGTGTGGTCTACACCAGACACGCACCATGACGTCACCCTTGTTGCTTTCCCCTCTGACCCTAACCCAGCAACTCTCAACAGGCCAATCTCCAGCTTCATACTGGAGCCCTAGGAAATCATATGGCTCTTTTACATAAACTACAACTCCTCCTCCTCCTGTTCTCCCTGCCTGTCCTTCCTGAACAGTTTGTACCCATCCATGACAGTGCTTCAGTCATGCGAGCTATCCCACCAAGTTGCTGTTATTCCAGTCATGTCATAGTGCCGTGACTGTGCAAGGATTTCCAGTTCTTCCTTCTGGTATCCCAGGCTCCATGCATTTGTATACAGCTACCTTAGGTAACTTTTTGATTGCCCTGATTTCTCAGGAAGTATGAGAGTACTCCTGTTGTCCCATCCTGCTTCTGCTTCCTCCAAGTCTCCCACTCCTGTATGTACCTCGGGGCTTTGGTCTCCATCACCCTGTGAACCTAGTTTAAAGCCCTCCTCAAAATTGTGGCTTAAGATCATGTCCCAGTGTCCAGACCTGAATTGCCAGCCTTTTGGTTCCCCGCTCACCACTCAGCCCCTTCAGCCACTGACCACCTGCTCATGGTAGTGAAGGTGATTACAAAATGCCAAGGGGGATTCACAGAAGCTGCATCAGCAGGACATGCAATAATAATAGGAGACTTTAACTATTCCTGTAGAATAGTTCATGTACATTTGAAGTTTGTTTGGGTTTTTTTTTCAAAAAGTGGAGTGGGGACTGGCTTTGAACTGCACAGCAGCTTCTGCATGTTGACAGATACATACAGATAAGCTGGGAATGATACAAATGTACCAAAACAGTTCCAGCTTTAACACTGCTTGAATCAGGATTAAAGTTAAAGCAGTGTTGCTACCTTTGTATTGTTCTTAGCTTCTACAATTGTTGTTGAATACCTCATTGGGGTTATAGAGGCAGAGAGACATTTTCTGAATGCAATAAATGTTTGCTTTCTAGAACAACTCCTCTTGGAACCCACAAGAATAGAAGCACTTCTAGATTTAACCCTAAATACTAGGGCTGTGCAAAACACCATTGTTTCATTTCGCCATTTCAGAGGGACAGTGTTTCATTTTGTTTAGTTTTGAAGCACTGTTACATTTCGTTTCATCAAAACTGTTTCGCTGTTTCGACACGTTTCGTCATTTCGCCCATAGGCTATATGGGGAATCATGAAAATGCCTAAAACTTTGTCATTTCGTGGCTGATTTGGATGAATATTGCAGGGATGGCAGCCTCTTCAGAGGGCATGAAGCCTGCCAAGTTTCAAGGAGATAGGTGCAGAGGATTCTCAGAAACTGCACCTCAAACTTGAAAAAGCAAAACTTGTGACACTTGCTGGCAGCGGCAGCCTCCTGTCATCTGGCGCAGATCCAGGGGGCCACACCCCAGGGAGGGTGATATCTTGCTGCACTTATCCTTTCTTCTCATCAGCAGAGCCTATGCTTGCTCCCTTAATATGGTCTCCTTAAGATACAGCCACCAGTCCTTGATTCCTTTTCCCCTCAGGCTTGTCTCCCAGAAGATCATGCCAATCATTCTCTGAGCTTGTTAAAGTCAGCTTTTCTGTAATGCTGTATCTTTATTCTCAGTCCATCTGTCCTTCAGGACCCTGAATTCTACCATTTCGTGATCACTGTCACCCAAGTTGCCATCCACCTTTATAGCCTCAGGTAATGCTCCCTGTTTCTGGAAGCAAATCAAGAGGATCTTCTGCCTTAGTTGGCTTCTCTACCATCTGTACTAAAAAGTTATCCTCAGAACACTCCAAGTACATGGTGACCTGTCTGTGCACTGCTGTGTTACCTTCCCAGCAAATTTCATAGTATGTGCAGCAGGGCATCTGATCAGCAGGGATCCTGGTTTTCTCTGATTAAAAAAAACACCCCCGATTTTTAGTTTTAAATAAGTAACCCCAAATCCACATTTTTCTGTGATTAAAATGAAACTCCACAATATA